TTTTTTTTTTTTTTTTTTTTTTTTGGTACCAGGGATAGAACTCAGGTCCTTGCGCATGTGAGGCAGGCAGTAGAACCACTGGGCTAAATCTCCAGCCCCCCAGCCATTTTTTTATTAGTTTTTGAGACAGGGTCTAGCTAAATCACTAAGTTGCCCAGGCTGAACTCAAATTTGAGCTCCCTCCTGCCTCAGCCTTCCGGAGTGCTGGGATGACAGGTGTGCGCCGTCTCACCCAGCTTGCATTTTCTTTTTTGGTGCTGGAGATGGACCCCAGGGCTTTGTGCACACTAGGCAAGCGCTCACCGCTGAGTCATGTGACAGCCTATCTCTGACCCCTGCAGTGCCAAGTTGGCAGTGAGTCATGGGTATGGGTCCCGCCTCCCTGCGCTCATTTTTCGTCTCATTCCTGCTGGGTTTTGCTAACTTGTTCTTCTAAATGACCTTGGCTAGCTTCAGAGTTTTAAAAATAAACAAACCTCTTTTTTTTTTTTTCTTTTTTCTCAGCGCTGGGGAATGAACCCAGAGCCTTTGCAATGAGCTCCAGTCCCAGCCCTTTTTAATTTCTGAGGCAGGGTCTTGCTAAGTTACTCTTTCCTAGGCTGGACTTGAATTTGCGTTGCTCTTGCCTCAGCCTCCCAGAGTGCTGGGATTTTTTTAAGTGTTCGTCTTGCTGCTCTGACTGCTCTGGTTTAAGCTGCACAGAGCCATCTCCTAGGGCTCTGTCTGTGCATGTGAACACCCCTGCTCATCTGTGAGTTTTCTCCAGGGTGCTTTTGTTTGTTTGGACAGTGCTGTTTATTTTTTTGTCAAGGTGAGATTTTGTCTTTGTTGAGACGTGTTTTACAGAAAAGGCTGGCATTACAAGGGCACAGCTGGATCTCTGGTGAATGTCCTGGTAACCCCACCCACGTCAAAGACAGGGCACGGGTGCCCCTAGTGGTTACCTTGCATAGGGCAACTATCATCCTGACGTGCAGGGCCCTTTGCTCTTTTTTTGTTGTCTGTTTTTTTGTTTTTGTTTTTGAGACAGTGTCTCATTGCAGTTCAGGCTGGCCTTGAACTCCCTGTATAGCCCAGGGTGGCCTCACACTTGCGATCCTCCTGCCTCAGCCTCCAGAGTGCTGGGATGACAGGCGTGCGCCACCACACCTGGCCACTTCCCTGATTCTTTCGGGCTTTCCAGGTTATCTGCCAACAGCTTACCTTCTCCCTTTCAGTTCTTCCTGTCTGCGTTTCTTGTGCAGTTGCTCCAGCCAGTCCCCCCATATGGGGCTAGAGTAGAGGCCCCACGCTGCTGTGGTCCCACCTGTGCTTGCCTGCAAAACCTTTGGCCTTTGCCTGTAAAGCAAGCTACCAGCTGCCAGGCCACAGCACCAGCTCGGGGGTCTGAGACACCCGCTGGTCCCCACCAAGGCAGGGTGACACAGCCACCTCCCGCCCCGCCCCGCAGGAGATTGTCAACTTCAACTGCCGCAAGCTGGTGGCCTCTATGCCGCTGTTCGCCAATGCTGACCCCAACTTCGTCACGGCCATGCTGACCAAGCTCAAGTTCGAGGTCTTCCAGCCAGGCGACTACATCATCCGCGAAGGCACCATCGGCAAGAAGATGTACTTCATCCAGCATGGCGTGGTCAGCGTGCTCACCAAGGGCAACAAAGAGATGAAACTGTCAGACGGCTCCTACTTCGGGGGTGAGCGCCGGGGTGGGGCTGGGAGCCCGCGGGCCACTGTGGGCTGCGGAGGTGGGCGGCGTTGGCACCAGTTGCACCAGTGTGCCCGAGCCGCATCTGCTCCTCCGCAGAGATCTGCCTGCTCACGCGGGGCAGGCGCACCGCCAGCGTGCGCGCCGACACCTACTGCCGCCTCTACTCACTCAGCGTGGACAACTTCAACGAGGTGCTGGAGGAGTACCCCATGATGCGGCGCGCCTTCGAGACGGTGGCCATCGACCGCCTGGACCGCATTGGTGAGCTGGCCCGGGGGAGCGGGAGCTGGGTGCACGTCATGGCCTGGGATTCCCCTCCTTTGCATGGAAGAGAAGCTGGGGCACCCCGGGCTGTGTGCAGTTTCTGCTCATTTGCCACGTTTGCTGAGTGCTTGGAGTGAGTGCAGGGGGAGGGCGTACGTCAGGAAGTGGCATCACACAGGTCGGGTGTGCGCCAGGCAGGAGGGGATGCTGCGTGCGGCAAGGGTGACAGGGGTGCCAGAGGGAAAGGGGGGCGCGCGTCTGCAGCACAAACAGCACATCCAAAGGCCCTGAAGTGGCCAGATGTAGTGGTACAGGCCTGTAATCACACCACTTGGGAGACTGAGGCAGGAATGAGTTCAAGGCCAGCCTGGACTGCAAAGCAAGCCCTTATCTCAAACAACAAAGGACAGTGAGCTGCGTGGGGAGAGTTCATACAGTAAAGGAGGAGCACTAGGGAGCCACGGAGGGTTCTAGGTAGGGTGGGGAGAACCTGTTCAGATTTGTATTCTGAGGGGCCAGCATCTGGGAGGAAGACAATGGTCCCCCTCAGGGAGAGGGAGGGTGGAGCTCCCACAAGGCTAATCACCATGGCTGAAAAAGGACTGGGAGGGGTAGAGATGGCTCGGAAGGCCTCCCAGTACACAGTGAGTGCTTCACACGTGCTGTGCTGGAGCGCAGGCACTCAGCGGGCCACTTTCTACAGCAGGTGCTCGGCATCACTGCGTGCAGCAGTGCGTGTGCACAGCAGGGCCTGTGTGCTCGCTGTGTGCCGATGTTCTGTGCGTGCCGCTATACACAGCAGTGCTCCTCGGCTTGCCAGACAGCAAGCTCCGCCCGGAGAAAGCAGGCATTGATACCCGCTCCCACACACCCACTTATACAGAGGATGCACAGCACCTGCCCGCCCCACGCAGCAGGTCTTCAGCTGTATGCAGTGGGAGCTTGTGCACTTCTCCACAGAGGTCCGGCGAGCGAGCAGGCCGTGCTGGTGTCCTGTGTGTGCCTGCTGCTTATCCCACACTGTGGCTACCACACAAGTGCTCAGGAGCTGCCTGTTCTACACAGCGATCTGCATATACTGTACTTGCACATGGCAGGTGCCCTGTGTGGTCACTGTACACAGGCAGGGCTCCGCAGAGGGCCCTGGCGCCACGTGCGGTGCCAACAGCAGGCACCTTGTTCACCCGTCTCTCCCGCCCGCAGGCAAGAAGAACTCCATCTTGTTGCACAAGGTGCAGCACGACCTGAGCTCAGGCGTGTTCAACAACCAGGAGAACGCGATCATCCAGGAGATCGTCAAGTACGACCGCGAGATGGTGCAGCAGGCGGAGCTGGGCCAGCGCGTGGGCCTCTTCCCGCCCCCACCGCCTCCGCAGGTCACCTCTGCCATCGCCACGCTGCAGCAGGCGGTGGCCATGAGCTTCTGCCCCCAGGTGGCGCGGCCACTGG